ACGCACGGCAAAGTTTGTATGATAATTTATTTTCCTAAAGTTCACTAGAATCATCTAGCCCTTTACAACCGGCAAAAAATGTTTTGTCTTTTTTTAGTTTCTATGTATGATTTGTAATTTAGACGGGGTAAGGTACTTGGAAAAATAAAAATTGGAAAATTCCCGTTTTCCGGGAAATCGTCTGCACGATCGTGCAGCACAGGAATAATTTAACATGTGCACGTACGTGCATCTTGATGGAAGTCATTTTATTTCAAGGACTTTAAACCAAATCAAAGCAAAAGTATATAGAAAAATATTTATTTTTAATAATTGGAATAATACCTATTATAATCAGTCTTACATATTTTTAGGAAATAGGAACATATTATTCTTAAAACTAATTGTTTTTCGTTATGTTTTGGAATCATAGTATTATGAATTATCTAAATTATTTGCTTAAAGTAGTACTTTCCATGAAATAAAGGAAAGGGTAGAGAACAACCGAAATTGAAAAATTGAGAAATTGTTATGAAAAGCTTTAAAGCAATTTTGACCCCTACTAATGCAAAGATAAACGTTGCATCTAATGCACCGAATTTTTGACCTACTTTTACAATTCTCTAATTGACAAAATCTCGGTGATTTTATATCGTCAAAAACGGGCAAATGGTCATAGCCATCATGCCTTATAGTTTCTGACGGTTTTAAAGTTTTTTTTAAACTTTCTTGGTACTTCCAGCTCAAATGTTTCTGAAGACCTCCGACGCTTCTCCAGTGTGTTCAGTAAGATATCAGCAATTTCAAAACGAAAGTCTAATAAATCCATTGCTTTATTTCGTCTGTAATTATTAGTGGAACAGTCTATTTTGTATGCACGCCAGGCATTCACTAGTGCTAAGTCAAAAAAGTGTATCAACACTTTTAGTGTCCATTTCCTAGTCTTGATGAATGTTCTGTAATACTCAACTTGTTGGTCTAGGACGTCGACCCCTCCCATGTAACGATTGTAATTTTGAATTATTTTAGGAGCCGTTATGTCCACATAGGCACGAATTTTCTTGTCCCACCGTTTAATCATTTCAGTAGTGTTTGATCCAGTGCAATTAGATGCTATCAATACAGACTTATTGTCTTTCCACTTCACCAATACTGTAGGATCTCTAACCATCTGTTGACTCTCACCACGATACATTTAGGAATCTTTCTTGAATTTGATACTGGTTCGATCGGGTACTCTATTGGCCATTATAGTTCCTGTGCTATGTAGATTGCGTCTTTGTAATTCCTCAATTAACGGTATCGTGGTAAAATGTCTATCATGATACAGACAACTGCCTGGTGGTACGCTTTTGGATAAATGTAACACTACTGATGGCCCAAGACCAAGATGATTGTTCCCAAACATTGTTTTAGCTCCTTGATAAATATCGAAATCTAACATGAGCCCATCATTCGTAGTCAAAACATAATTTTTGAGTCCAACAGGACGCGGTTTATTTTTTACCACTTGACGCAATGGGCAACGACCAGTAAAAGGAATAATTTGTTCGTCTACTGAATAGTACCCTGGAAGCCTCTCTTGCTTGTAGCAGCCATTACGTACCTGATCTATCATTGGCTGAACTTTCCAAAGTGGGTTCGTAATTTGCTCTGGCGGTGCAGTATCAGTGCTTACTACATGCAAGGCATTTCTTAATTGTAAGAACTGATCCCGGCTCATTTTGCTCGTTATTTTGTCCAGAGATATACCGTTGCGCCAGTACATAGGCAGCCTTGGAAATGGAATGCACCCCATCAGAATATGAATGCCAATTAGCTTCTGTATTTCAGGCTTTGTTGTTTTTAGTTCGTGGCCAGTCTTACGTAAGTAATATAAATTAGAGCAGGTACTGAGTGTTTTGTAAAAAACATCATCTAAATAATCTTGTAAGTATTCTAGGGGTCTTCTTACCGGTTTAACAGGTCGATTGGGGTACAAATGTTGCTTATCTTCAAAAGTTGTTACTTTCCAACGTTGAGGGCGGGAACCTGATTGAATCGGACGCTGTGGAGCTGATAATGAGGGTCTTGTCGCCGATGACGGCCCGGGAGATGGATGTTCGCGTTCAAGAACGGCCTGTGGTTGATTATTTAGTTGATCTTCTGCTGGTTCTTCTAGTAAATCTAAATCATTTAGATTTTCCAAGAATGCAGGGTAAAAAACCGTTCTTCATCATCAGAGTCATTGAAATACTCGATATCAGAATCATTACCGTTTCCCAAGGCTTCTATGATGTCTTCATCACGGAAGACACCTAAAACCATCATTTAATGCAGTTAAATTACACAATACAAACAAATAAAATCAAGTCATGTTTACGTAAAAAAGTACAAATAACACCTAACTAGCACGTACGTGCATCTTCAAATTAAATGACGAATAAACAAAATACTTCCAAAATATTAACTATAAAACTGAGTTAATAACATTGAGTTATTCACACTCTAATGAAATCTATTTAAGAAACTTTGATAAAAAAACAACATAAAAAATTAGACTTACGTGAAGCTCCTCTCCTACCGAAATGCGCCGCCATCTCTCGCGATGTCCTGTGCCACACTGCCAAGGTCTAGCTCGCCCGAATATTTTTAATCACATGGAAAGTCACTTAAGTGTGCTATTATCTCAATATATAATATCTATAAAAGAAAGATATGTTTACAGACGAAGCTTTGCAAATATATTTTAAATTTACAAGGTAGGTAACTTGATTTTTAAATACTGAGCTTTTGTGTGTTGTGCTGCACTACAGAGCACCTTCAGCACGACGGAAATAATATTATAAGGATAAAAACCCATAAACTTACAAAGAAAACTATTTCATTCAAAACAATATTTTTAAATATTTAATGATAAATAATAACAAAACTTAAAAGTGTACCACTTTAGTTAATAGATTACTTATTTTGATATATTAGAAATGTTCTTCATCTTATTTGTAATTTTTTTCATTATTAAATTCGTGTTCATATTTTTTTTTAATTTTGCAGCTTTTATTTCGACATTATCGTTTTGATAGTTCACAGATCGACGTTTATCTTTGGTTGTTAATATCGTATCTGTATCATCCTCTATTTTCCTCGTTATGTAAATCCCTTCTTGGTTTTCTAAAGAATCAGGGGTCATTCTGTAAAATAACGCATAAGGTTTATTATTATTATTTTCAAATTCTTCTTCGTGATTTCCTACTCTTGAAGCTCTTATCGGATGTTCGTTCACCATATTTAGATCTTTGCCGATGTATTTCCGCATATTATCTGATATATTATTCCGTCGAGACTTTTCATCGCTATTGTTAGTGTCTCTCTTACTGTATTCGCTAACTTTCAGTTTCCTATCTGGATACTTTTGAGACATATCATCGAGAATTTTCGCTAACATTTTGACATTTCTTTCTTTAAAATTAGCGCCCTTTTGTAGAGTTTTATCTACTAACATAGATGAAGAAACGCGTTTAAAATCATCTCTTCTCTGCACAGATATCGCATTTAGTTGCCGGTTATTGTTCATTCTCACTTTTTGAGGTTCCGCAGCTATTTGTGTTTTGCGGACGTTAACTTGCAATATATTAGCTTTGTTGTCGTGAGGATTCGCTTTGTTCAATTGCTGGTTATGTAGGTTCTCTGAATTGGATTGACCATTCTGTGGTGAAATATTGGTATTGAGATTTTTCGACCTTAATGTCCTGGCGTTTCTTTGATCTTGCAAATAATCAGTATTACCTTTGTTTTGTAATCTTGGCGGTTCCGTGCTACGTTGATTGAGTTTATATGCTGCATTGATTTTGTCAACACTTTGTTGCTGTAGCTGTTGCTTTACTGGTTTCGGATAATCACTCACCTTTTCTTCATTTGTTTTCGCAATTTTTTGGCTTCCAGTAAGTCCCATATATCTTCGCGACTTCAAACTGTACCCAATTGGATATGATTCTAAACCTTTATTGAGACTTACGTAACCGATATTTGGATTATCCGCGAACATATAGTGCATGTAAACGCACTTAAAGTGGCCAATGTAGATAAGTACATTAATTAATATCTGCATCGGTATGTTCATCTTGATACTAAATGACACTATCCGCTGAATATCCGTTGCTTTATAGCCCACATGAGATTGTTTACGATTGATTGTTATTCCACATTAATAAGTAAACACATAAACAAAAAACAACAAATAATTTGCTTAACACAACATTATTGTGTCCATACGAATTACGATCCTTGGATTTTTATGAATAAATTTATATTTACGTAAAAATCTTAATGTATTGGGTCTTGTTAAGAAATCAAACATATTAAAAATAATCCTTGATTACTAAAAATTAAAAACTAAATTAACTTACAAAAAAAATATACCTATTCTCGTTCTACGATAAAAATCATGTACTGAGTATAACATTTTTTAAGTAAGATAGGTTTACTTTGTTAGTTTCTGGCCTTGACCTAGCTCTTCAGTAACAATACTCTTACTAAATCGTTACGGAAACGAAAACTGCAAGTTTGATCTTCAATCGAGAAAAAAGGATACGATTGCTCGCAGCGGTTTGTCAAATGCTTAATTTTATTTTTATCCTTACCTACCAGAAAAGTTATTTGAATATTTTATACATTTACTAATCTATAACAAACTAATTTAGAACTTGCTGTTTTACATTTACGAGTTTTGTATATCAAAGATAACGAGACGACTTTTACCCAAAAGTCGTGGTGACATCACACGCACACGATATTATAGTTCATTTAACTTAATTTTTTTCAAGTAGTGTCTGTTGTAAGAAATTTGTTGTGGATTATATTGATCCCGTACATTGCTGTTATGTTTAAAAAAAAGACCTTGATTATATAAATATACTAATAGTCAGTCGCTCGATATTCACATGAATCATACATTGTTTAACTTTTGTTGAAGAATTATAATTGATAACATTTTGGTTCACATTATAGTGAGCTACGATGTTGGATAATAGTCTTCTCTAAGAATGGTCGTGATACGCACAATGAAAGTGATATCACTTATAATTTCATGTTATATATTGCTAGTGAACGGTAAATTAATAGAAAAAAATACAGAAAAGAATCATGCCACCAAGCAAACTGAATCACCAAGCTCTATTCGAATTTCAAGGCAGGCTTTCTACGACGAAGGAACAGGAATTTCAATAGAGGACTATCATCGAAATTACGTTAGGAAGGGGAGATATTCTATTCGGTCACACAAATACAGCGAAGAGGTAACTCCCAATATTGTTCGAGTGTTTAGAGATTCTGATGAGAAACGTGTAAAATCCAAAAAACAGACTGAAGATACTGTACGAAAACTAAAAAATTCTAAAGTTTTGATAAAGAAACCAATTCCTAAATTCAACGAAGTAGACGAAGAGGATTTTCAAGTGAAAGTTAGCAGTTTGCCAATAAAGGTAGCTGATTCAGGTGAACACGAAGATGAAGACTTTAATTTGGATGATTACGAATTTGATGTTAATCATGACGAGTTTGTCGGAAGGGGTAAACCGTTAGAACCACGAGCAAAACATAACAATAACAGAGATTCTATTGAAAATAAAATACCAAAATCTAAGTTAACCACGACATCTCCTCCTCAAATGAAAATACAGAGTAAAGTAGTAATTCCAGCCAGTCCATCAAATATGAAGAGAAGTGCGATGACTAAAAAAGCAGCTGACAAAATGAAAGAAGACTATTATGATGACATCGTGACAACTACAAAAATACCTGAGACAGAAGTCAAACGTGAGTTTGATTATGAACTATCTGATGATTCGGGTAGCAAAGAGTCCTCACAAAAAAATCTGGTAAGGACCATCAGGTCGCCTTTAAATATAAAGTTGCTGGCTGACAAAATGGGCGATAGGACTGCAACAATACTGTCGAATATCCTCGCGTATTTACCGCTATTCCCAGAAGCACCGATTTCTAGTGAGACCATTACTGATGTGGCGAACTTGGATCCGATTACCGGTAGAGAATATATGTTTTAGGCATATTTAGTGATTTGTATTTTCATTTCTCTTGGTTTTTAATTTAGAATTGGGATATATTAAGTACATCATTAGTTATGCAGCACACGCAGTATATTGTTCTCTTGAATCAACAAATAAAACAAATTTTCAAAAGATTCACTGTAATTTATTTAAAAAACGTATGTAAAAAGTTTGTCAGATCGATAATATTATGATAATGTACTAAACCCTAACTTACTACTACTAAAAAACTAAAGACGTACTAGGTAGGGTACTTATCTATACTTAGGTACTTATCTTTATACCGTAGGTACAGACTTAAATAATTATTTCATAAAAACAGAACTCTGTTATAAAAGCAACCAACACTGCCATATTTGAAAAAAATATATAATTCTTTTATTAATCGTAGCAGTAATATTAAAACACATAGAAGAACTACCGAAAAAAGTATGGTACATATATTTAATTATTAAAAGGAAAATTGTATTTTGAAACCAAACCTTGTAAATTAATAAAGAAGAATTTATATTTTGAACTAATGAATATGTATCCCCTATTACACTATTACACCCCCCCCCCCCCTCTACAAGTTTTAGTTTCCCTACAAAAAGTAGGCTTTATCCTTCTGCAAGGTCACATTTACACATATACCAAATTTTTCTTTAAACTGTTCCGTCGTCTTTTACTTAAAGCGTTACAGATAGACAGACAATGTAACGTTTGAATTTACGATATTACTATATCAATATGTTTGTAAGATTTAAAATATAAAAAATACCAATCTGACGATTTATCATTATCACCCTTATGAATATACAAACATAGTTAACTATACTACAGTAAGGTTGCGTTGTTTCATCGATAATAACATTTTACTATGCCACGTCAAATATATAGTAAATGTGTAAATTTTTGACAAATGGTTATTTTTTCAATACGATTTAACTATAGTAAAATTTAACTATCGATGTAAAAACGCGGCCTAGGTCAAGCTTACAATATGTTTAACGTACCAACGAACGTGCATTGTATGTTTTGACTGTGGTTATGTATTCATGTACTAAAACTAGGTTCAGTAGTTTTGATTATTGACGCAGCTGCTTAGTTAGTTACTAAAATAGAAAATCACAAATGAATTGGGCTACTCAATTGTTATTTTTCATCTTTAAGCACATGTAAATCACAAATTGATTGGGTTTCTCAATTTTATTATTATTTTTTACCTTTATGCACATGTTATTTTATGTTTTAGTACCAAGAACTGTGTCAAAAAGCAATAGGAACAATTGAACCTCTACTGAGACACAATTTTTACGTTAGCTCAAAGAATCGATAGCCAAAACAGTATGGATATTTGTGTTTTTAGGGTTTGGTGATTTCGCAAGTTTACACCCATATCATTCAATTAACTAACTTAGTAAAGAACAATGACGACTGCCAATTGCAACAGTAACTCCAAATCCGGTACTGAGGTTTTGGAGTCAGGGTCTACAATTTATACCTCCATTCACAATACCTACTTAATTACGAGATTTCTTTAATTACAAATTCAATGTGTATGTGTACCATATTAGAACTATTAGTTATGGTTGATGTAATTATGGTTTATTATTTAAATGTTATTTAATTTTGTGTTTTAATTAATTTATGTAAACTCTTTGAAGTCCAGCCGTTTTGGTGTTTATGGTTGCCATATTGGTAGTGTTTATGTTAAAAGGGTGACAAACAAGCGTATGATAAGCGGCCACCAAAGCCTACAGACGCTTGCGATGCGACAAAAAATATTACTTGGACCGTTGCATACCCTGACCCTATTGCCTTTCCCGTGGAGCCCTGGAACCTTACTCACCGGTAGAGACACAATACCACCAAAAGGTAGTGTTCTGTCTTCTGTAAGGTAGAGGTTGCTTCCCCCGACGGCCGCTCCCATACGTGCGAAAAATTCACTATGCCACCGCACTTCACCGTGTGGACATGTTGACCGTGGACCGTAATATGAGAAAATATGTTATTTCTGAAGACTACACCTAGTTACCTAAATGCAAACTTACAATTTTATTAATTTTTACTGCTTATGGCGGAAGAAGGACTGCTGTACTTAATTTACAGAAGGATTAATTTAAGAGCGTGACAATTAATAAACTTACACTTTCCTTGGTAATAAATCTCAAAATCACAGTTTCTGCTAAATTATAAACTCCATTTGTATCACTGTAGTCTGTAGGTATCTAATGGTTTACGTAATCAGCACTGTTACTTTTTGCTGCCATTTTGGCAACGTCTATGTATTTGTTAAACTTACTGTCGTATCCCTTGCTATTGTCGTGACCCTTGTGATGATTATCAAATTTCTTTTTGTCATTATTTCCAGAGTTACTGAACGCGTTTGCCTCGTTACCCAAAGATGCTGCAGCTTGTGACTGCAAAATTGCATTTGATCCACCATTATGAAGTGCAGAGCTGCCTTTCTCTTCAGCTTTAGCCTTATTTCTTCTGTTATCGAAAAATTCATTGTCCTCTTGGTACTCATCTTTGTGGTATACTCGTCGGAACCCTTTTCTATTTTCACCTTTATCTTGACTTTGAGACAAACTATATTGAGAATCTTTTTTTTCTTCTTCACCGCCGAATTTGTTTGCAAAACTGTCTACGAAATTTTTGAATCCGTTGTAATTATTGCCATTTTTTTCGTAAGCAGATTTATGTTGTTCTTGTTGTTCATCACCCTTTTTATGTTTGTCATATTCATGTTTTTTATCATATCCTTTTTCTGTGGATGAATCGGCTACAGCAACTTTAGAAGATGTGAGATCGTTGTTCGTGTTACCTTTAAAATATCCAGCGTCAGCTGGAGTGTAATGTGATTCCAATCTTCTATCTCTCTTCTGACCTGGCGGAGAAGCACCATGGTCAAATTCCTTACCCCATTCCATGCCTTTGAAAGACAAAGGGTCGTCGTCAGAATTCTTATCGAAATAATCGTTTAGGACATAAGAGAAGAAGGGTTTATTACCATAAATTGGGTTATCTGTAGACATAGCACGATGAAATCTGTTAGTAGCCGGAGTTGCACTATAGTCAACAGGAATATCATCAACTTGTTCGTGGACAGGTATATGGTCTTTAATTACACCAGCAACATAACGCTTGTCTTTAGCTTTTTCCACGTCTGCGTCCATTTTCTTAGTTTCATATTCATATGGGCTGTGATAATAGTAAGGCCAACCATCATACGATGTTCTGGAACTGGACCTTACGTCGTCGTCATCAATATGATAGTCATTTTGAAAGTCATAATAATTAATATCTCCCATTGCCTCTGGATACTTGTAATGCATTATAGATTTCAACTTTTCATACATTGCATCAGACTTCATTTTCGATGGATAATAATGCGCGTCATAGTCCGCTTCAGATTTAGATTTTTCATAATCATAATTATAACTGGAAATCTTATCAGCATTATAATATGGTGGGGTTTCTCCAGCGTGAGCTTCTATTGAGTTACTTCCTAGGTTAATATCTAATGGTATGGGATCGTACTTAGTTTGAGCGTTGGTTGGAAAACTTCCACTATTAGTCAGCGAGTAAAGGTTATAATCACTTACGTCGTTGCCGTACATTGCTAATGTACCCGGGTGATCGTCAACTTTGCTATAATAGTATCCAGAGTGTATTGGTGGTGAACTCGATCTCGACTTCCTTGACATAAAAGCATCGTGCTGCAATGATCTAATTTCAGCGTTCACGAATGTGGTAAAAGAAAATATAAACACTGCACAAATCATCTCGATGACTAGTTTAGTTGAATTTAGTCGCGACAAGTATCTCGGAGCTGGTACTCCATCAAACTGGAAGTAGCCGTTTCTAATCTTGTTTATATTTACTGTTTATTATTTCGCTCCGACTTAGTATTGTTCTAATGACAATAGCAACGGGTCAGATCCAGTGGTGAAATATCCCGTATGCACAATGATCAATGGGCCTAACGCAGGTTAGTCAAGGCATAGGAATTTAGTCCAACAAAAGGTTAATTAAAATCTAGAATAACAGTCTAGATAAATGAAAATACATGGATACGCATAACTGTATATTTGTTCGATTTATTTCAAATTTTAACTTATAGTTTTCTTGTCGTGTACTATACTAGCTTTTCACCATTTATTTTTACGGCTTGTGTAGTTTAAATCTACGTTTGATTTTACTACTTATATTATATACGATGCGTTAGGATTAGAACGAGTGCCGAAGTTATCGATTACTATCATAACAAATTGTAGATTTGTATCAAGGCTCACTACCGTAAAACAATAGCGAGATTAGCGAGACATTTATAAACATTGATCCAGGATATAATAAGAAAGACATTAGGTATTTCAGTTGATAGTAGAACAAGCTGGTATGCTTTGCCCGCTCACGTGTTCCCTCCCTCCCACAAACCGGGATCTTTTGAAGTGGCGTGATGAAAAAACTTACAGGTCGGCAAGGTGAGAATGGATGGTGCGGCAGGTAAAGCCGCTGCACCAGCTATCTTCGTGTCTGGATTCCACTGTTACTAACTTATTCGGGCCTATCCTATGTTGTATGTTAGGTTAGGTTTAGGTTTCCGCACTTAGTCCTTTAAGTGGACCATTGTACGTGAGCCTATCCTACTAAGAAGTTTGTATGTTTTTACTCAATCACGCAAAAACTACTGATTTGGACCAAATTTGGTACGTATTATTATAGATTATGATCTGGGTTGAGACATGCCTATGATACTTTTTATCTAGGATAAGTGTTACGCCATCCATGTTTGAGGATCCTGAGGGATTTTCAAAAAACTTTTGCTAACGCCGGCGAAGTCACATGCGGCCGCTAATTATAAAAAATAAAAGGTAATCTTACTAAGCGGAGTAAGATTGGCGCACTGATACGAGTTATGGGCGTTTGGTCGGTCTGAAATAAAATAAATAAATACTTCCAACACTCGCACCAATTAGCCGAGTCCCAAAGTAAGCACTGTAGGCTTGTGTTGTGGGATGCTAGCAGTGGCGGCGCTAGACCACATGTGGACGTCGGCGACATCAAGGTCGCGATGCCTATTTTACTTCGCATTAAAAAACCGTTAAATTATAAAATAACCATGTATGAGTAAACGAGTTTTATTGTTGATAATCAAATGATGACAAAAAATAATTACAAACATAGAAATTTAATAACAAAAAGACAGACGATTCTGAATACCCGTAAAGTACTACTCGCTTCCATCACGCACGTGTTCGAAAATAATAAAAGTCATTATCATCTGCTTAGCTTTTTCCCCGAATTGTTCGGGGTCGGCTACCTAAGCCAGGCCAGGAGAAACGAAAATAAATAGGTAACTTGTAAAAATTTTTTGCGAGGCCCCCTCAGGCGCGAGGCCGTCGGCGGTGGCCGACTGGATGCTAGGGTGACGGATAGAATACATATACAGATACATATATAAGTATAGAATATAGTATAAACAATATATATATTAAACATCCATGACTGGAGTAACAATGCTCGTATTCATCACACAAATATCTGTCCCCACCGGGATTCGAAACCGGGACCTCTCGAGTAGGCGACACCATTAAAACCCGGCGTACATAGCACTCGGCCACGTAGGTCGTCAAATGTTAGGTAGGTGGATCTTATTGCTATTTTTGCAACTGAATTTACAATTACTGGTTAAACGCATTTAGATTCAGACTACTTTCGTAAAGATAGCGATCCAATCAGGGGAAAGCCCTACCCGATAGGTGATAGAAACAAACCTAAAACTTTAAGCTTTATTTTTCAATTTTGCATTAATTAACGTATGCTGTCTGTACCCCTTTACTATATTAACATTTCTGAATAATATTTTTGTGAAAGCTATATCATGCTGTACTGTATCGTAACCTTTGTAACCTTTTTCTTCAAAGTAAAGAACTTCTAAGGCGCTTTGCAGACGGCGGGGCGGAGCGGGCCGGTCAATTTCGCCGCGAACGATGGCACACAGTGAATCCTATACCACAAACGCACAAAGAGGGCAAAAAGACCGCGCCGCAGGTGCCCGGCGGGCACTGGCGGCGCGGCATGCCCGCCGTGGATCATACAATCCAGTTTATATGCAGTAACGCAGAAGGCGGCGCGGGGCGGCTAGCTCAGTCCGCGCCACGCGCTTTTTAGTGATGGACTATTGACTAGAACGAACGACCTGAACTAACTGCCTCTGCTCGTCGTGTGCTTTGTGTACGCGGCGAGGGCAGCCGCAGACATCGACGGGCAGACGCGGTTTTTATTGGCCGCCCCGCCCGCCCCGCCCAGTCGTCTGCAAAGCGCCTTAAGGTGAGTCAACGCACTCGCCGCGGCCGGCGCCGTTTAACCTTCGACTTGCATTTGTCACGTGGGGTTTGACCGCTATTGTCTGGCTGTCTTTGTTGTTGCAATTTAGCTATATTGATTGAATTCCTGTGGCCGACATGCAAAACAAACAAACGCCCGAAACAATATTCAGATCCGGCGAGTATCAGTTGGGTTTCGGGTCGTGAAATAAGGATTATTTTTTTTTGGGTTCCGTACTCAAAACTGAATGCGGGTTGTAACAAACCCAGATAACATTGTATTTTTTTGTAAAGTTTTGAGAAACTAAAAAACTTATATTATGAAAAACATATTTTTATTAAATCTTTTCAAAGAACTCCCCACCAGCCTCTACACAAAGTTTCATGCGTCTGAACCAATTTTCAAAACATTTTTCCAGTCCTCCGCAGGCACGTTTTTCACGGCCTTCTCAAACGCTGCTAACGCTTCTTCCAGCGATGAAAACTGTATCCCTTTGAGCTGTTTTTTTATTTGAGGAGGGTGTCCTAAAATAAATAAATCAGCTAAAAAGTAAGGAGGGTGTCCCAAGACTCTGACTGGTGTGGAGTCCAGGAAGTCCTTCGTTTTGATCGCAGAGTGCGCAGGCGCGTTATTGTGGTGTAGAAGGACCCCGCGGAGCCCGGTGTTAGGTCGTTGTTGCTCATTACAGAAAAAACTTCTGGCACGCATTTTGTGCTATACCATTCGGCGTTGATGCTGCTGTGGCCTCGAAGTGGAATAGAAATTAGGTACCCTGTGAAAGTGAAGAAACTAGCGATCAAAATTTCCCCTGCGCTCCTCGATCGTTTCACTTTCGTAGACGTTGGTTCATTTTGAAACAGCCAAACTGCCGACTGACGGTGTTTCTGGAACGTATTGATAAATAGAGGATTCGTCACCTGTCACAATATCGTAAACGCGCCGAGACGAGCCTGCATCTTTTTGTATCATCACTGCACCAATTCACACGGGCCTGCTTCTGAGCTTCGGTGAGGTTATGCGGCACCCAGCGGGAAACTATCCTCCTTACGCAAAGGTGCTTTTGAAGGTCTTCCATCCATAAAAGCAGTTCGAAATCGATCAAATGACTCATCAGGTTTTAAGCCACATTTAAAATCCTAAAAAATCATAGCACGAAAATGTTCTCGCCACTGTCTTCTTCACCTGGTACCACAAATTTTCTATTGGGTTTAAATCAGGACTGTACAGAAAAAACCAAAACTGTCACAGACTAGTTCCTTAAAAAGTCTTTTATTACTTTTGCAGTGTGTTTCGGATCATTATTCTGTTGGACTTTCCAAATGACCGGTAAATTTTGCCCGGCGTAGGGCAGCATGGCTTGTTCTTAAATATTCTTGTACTGAAATTTATCCATGTTGCCTTCTATTTTCCTGACAGGTCCAACACCAAGTCCTGAGAAACAGCCCCAAACTTTGATATTTCCGCCCCCATGTTTAACTACCTACTTTCTTGGTATACTTTGGATCCATTTCTTTGTTCGAGGGGCGTCTAACATATTGGTTTCTGTCAGAATTTATCATATTTATTTTTGTTTCATCAGAGAAAACAACATGTTTCCATTCTCGTTCAGTTCAGTGTACATATTTTTAGCAAATGCTAATCTTGCCTTATCATTTTGCTTTTTCAAAAGTGGCACCTTCCAAGACACTCTTCCGTACAAGTTTGCCTCACATAGTCTCCGTCTAATTGTTCTTGCAGAAACACTCTTTGACCCTCCTGCACCAAACAACTCCGAACGTATCAGTTCTGATCCCTTGAACGGATCTTTTTTTTGCCAACAACACCATCTTAAGAGTCTTCCCGCAGAGCAGTTTTTCTTAGTCTCGGTTTTCTTGGTACGTTTTCAGTCGTGTTGAACTTCTTGAAATGTTTTATAGCATTCATAACCATGTCCTTAGAACAGTTTAAGTGGTTTGATATTTTTCTGTATGATCAATCTTTATTATGAAAGTTAAAAATAGTAAGTTCCTAGTGGACGAATCGCAACTTTTGTTTTTTCCCATATTGGGTTTAAAACGTATTAATTTTAATTAAAAATTAGGTTTAATATGTAATAGCGACGTTTCATGAAAATACGCGGCAAAAAAAGAAAAACAGAATGCAGTTTTTTCTTTATCTTTTTAAATTCAGAACACAGCTTTTACTGTCTTTAATTAGCTGGCCAGCTACAAGTACGTTAAAAAAGTTAGTGTTATATTCCTATTGTGAGCAGAGTCTAAACTACTAACGAACGCAAATATTTTTTGTCCAACATTGTAAGAATACAGCGTCGTGTATAGTTTAATAACAATTACACTAGATTAAATACCAATTTTAGCTAATTTTAGTACCATAAGTAAGTTTTTTGTGGTCGATTAGGGAGTGTCTTTAATTATGTGACCACCACTGTATATATAATAAAAATGGAAGCTTCGCG